GACAAAGCAGGAAAGAATGTCCAATGGAAAAAAGACAGCCTCTTCAACAAATGGTGTTGGGAAAATTGAACAGCCATATGCAGAAAAATGAAACTGGACCATTTCCTTACACCACACACAAAAATAGACTCCAAATGGATGAAAGACCTCAATGTGAGAGAGGAATCCATCAAAATCCTTGAGGGAAACACAGGCAGCAACCTCTTCGACCTCAGCCACAGCAACTTCTTCCTAGAAACTTCGCCAAAGGCAAGGGAAGCAGGGACAAAAATGAACTATTGGGACTTCATCAAGATCAAAAGCTTTTGCACAGCAAAGGAAACAGTCAACAAAACCAAAAGACCACTGACAGAATGGGAGAAGATATTTGCAAATGACATAACAGATAAAGGGCTAATATCCAAAATCTATGAAGAACTTATCAAACTCAACCCCCAAAGAACAATTAATCCAATCAAGAAATGGGCAGAGGACATGAACAGACATTTCTGCAAAGAAGGCGTCCAGATGGCCAGGAGACACATGAAAAAGTGCTCCACATCACTCGGCATCAGGGAAGTACAAATCAAAACCACAATGAGATACCATCTCACACCAGTCAGAATGGCTAAAATTAACAAGTCAGGAAACTATAGATGCTGGCAAGGATGCAGAGAAAGGCGAACCCTCCTACACTGTTGGTGGGAATGCAAGCTGGTGCAGCCACTCTGGAAAACAGCATGGAGGTTCCTCAAAAAGTCGAAGATAGAGCTACCCTATGACCCAGCAATCGCACTACTGGGTATTTACCCTAAAGATACAAATGTAGTGATCCAAAGGGGCACATGCACCCAAATGTTTTCAGCAGCGATGTCCACAATAGCCAAACTATTGAAAGAAACTAAATGTCCATCAACAGATGAATGAATAAAGAAGATGTCATATATCTATATGTCTATATATATAAATATATATAGATATACATACAATGGAATACTATGTAGCCATCAAAAGAAATGAAATCTTGCCATTTGCAATGACATGGATGGAACTAGAGGGTATCATGCTGAGCGAAATAAGTCAATCAGAGAAAGACAATTATCACATGATCTCCCTGATATGAGGAATTTGAGAGGCAAAGTTGGGGGTTTGGGGGGTAGGGAAGGAAAAACGAAACAAGATGGGATCAAGAGGGAGACGAACCATAAGAGATTCTCAATCTCACAAAACAAACTGAGGTTTGCCAGGGGTAGGGGGGTATGGAGAGAGTGGTTGGGTTATGGACATTGGGGAGGGTGTGTGATATGGTGACTGCTGTGAAATGTGTAAGCCTGATGATTTACAGACCTGTACCCCTGGGGCAAATAATACATTACATGTTAATTTTAAAAAGTTAGCCATTTAAAAAAAATCAGGTTTAATATAGAAAGATTGAAAACAAAAGGATGACCAAGAGGAAGCATGAAATGCAAACAGACGAGGTGGAATTAAGGCTAAAGGAAACATGTAGGGTAAAAGAAGGATATTTTTAAATGTTAAAGAGAATAAATAATCATAAGCCTGCACATACCAAAAATATAGTAGCTAAACAGAGAATTATTTAGCTGCAAAAAGAACTGCAAAAGAACCTAATAAAATACAATTATAGTGGGAGGTTTTAATATACCTCCTTTAGAATCAAAGAGACATAACTTCATATTTGAATAAAGAATGCATTTTTATGTGGCTAAAAAATATCCACAAATCTCATCTACTTATTCACTGCCTAGAAAACATTAACTTCCAAAAAGTTAAGATTTTAGGGCAACCTACATTATCCTAAAGCAATAATTAGAAATAAAATTTAAATTAAAAGATATTCCCAACTTAACAGTCAGAAATTAAGAAATGCATTCCTAAAATACCCTATATCAGAGAGGAAAAAAAAAAAAAACCTCATGAAAATAACCCTGTTTCTTACCTATGGGAACAAAGGCAAAATCTATCCTCAGACGAAAATTTATAGTAACAACTAAAATTAATAATTCTTGTCTTTATAATGCAAAAAAAGAGAAAAGGAATACTTTAACAATTTATTATTTGTAATACTTTAAGAGAAATAATTGATATGAGAAAGAGAGCTTTCATACATTAAATTCCAGCTGAGATTAATGAAACGCAAGATAAAAACTAGCTAAAAGGCTACATCCTAAATCCAAAGCTAGCTTTTAGAAAAAGCAAGTCATGAATAGTATGAACTCCTCATGACCATTGTGAAGAAGAGTAAAGAGGCCCCTGGCTGGCTCAGTCAGTTAAGCTTCTGACTCTTGATTTCAGCACGAGTCATGATCTCAGGGTCATGAGATCAAGCCCTGCATCAGGCTCCATGCTCAGCAGAGAGTCTACTTGAGATTCTCTCCCTCTCCCTCCCCCTTACCCCTCCCCTCATTCGTGCTTAAATAAATAAATAAATAAATAAATAAATAAATAAAATCTTAAAAAAAAAAGAAGAGCAAAAATGTACAAGATTTGGTATGAGAAAGAATACATAAGCAAAGATGGGAAATACATTAACTGAGCTATTATAGAATACTAGAAGCACTTCTCTCTGATGTATTTGAAAACCTAGAAGAAATAGATCATTTCCTCTCATACAATAAATTATTAAAATTGACATCATAAACTTGAAGAGAGCAATTTCTGAAGTAAAAATTGAAAGCAGTTGACACTTTCTCACTGAACAAGTCACCAGGTCAAAAGGCTTCAAACCAGATTCTATCTATCTTTTCAAGAATGAATAATCTCAATGTCACTTCAACTATTCCAGACCTATAAAACACAGACACTTCTGTATTAATCCAACAAGGCATCAGAACCACAATATTCAAATATTTGCAAGAAAGTAATATAGATGCAAAAGAATATATTAAAAATTTTAGCCAATAAATCAAATATATGAAAATATATTGATGTATGAAATTAATAACATCCCATGACAAAATGCAGTTTCTTTTTTTCCTTTTTTTGAGAGGATGAAATTTATTTATTTATTTTCTTTTGAGACTTTATTTAAACTCAAGTTAGTTCATACATAGTATAGTATTAGTTTCAGGGGGAGTATTTAATGACAAATAAGATTTCTTACAGCAGGTTAGGAATGGTTAGGTTATCACTATGAGAACATCTAAGAACATAATTTATTCCATCAATAAAGTAAAGGAAAAACCATATGAGCATGTCAGTAAATGACAGAAAAGCAAAAGGTAGAATCAAGCAATTATTACTAATAAAAACTCAATGTAAATTAAGAATTAAGCTCCTAATATTATAAAACATACCAAAAATAGTGGCAAGTATCATTCTAAATTATGAAATGCTTATTATTTTAATTAAAATCAGGAAGAAAATGAGGCATGACTGCTATCATCATTATTGACATTGTGTTAGAAAGTTCGTCAAATGCAGTATGTCAAGAAGAGTACATAATTTTTCTAAATGTTAGGAGGAAGATATTTTCATTTTTCCCCTGATATGATTATGTATCTATAAAACTCAAGGAATTCTAACTAGAAAAATATACATTGTAACACAATAGTCTTTTTTCTATATTTAAATGGAAATGGGAAGAAAACATACCATTCTCATCAGTAAAAATCTATAAAATACTTAGTGGTACATTTAGCAAGAAGAAAAAATTAAGTTCTCCAAGCACTAGCCCTCACAGTATTTAATTCAATACCAACTCCATATTTGGATAACATCAGACACTCACCATTTCATTTCATATATTTGTGTCTTTGTGCATGCTGTTCCTCCTGCCTGTACATGTTGTTCCTTCTGCCTTCACATGCTGTTTCTCCTGCTGCACATGCTGTTCCTCACACCGACACATGCTATTCTTCCTGCCTGCATACGCTGTTCTTACACCCACATATGCTGTTCCTCCTACCTACATATACTGCTCCTCACATGCACACATGCTGTTCCTCCTGCTGCACATTCTGTTCCTCACACCCGCACATGCTGTTCCTCCTGCCTGCACATGCTGTTCCTCATATGCGCACATGCTATTCCTTCTACCTGCACATGGTGTTCCTACCTGCACATACTGTTCCTTCTGCTGCATATTCTGTTCCTCACACCCACACATGCTGTTTCTCCTGCTGCACATTCTGTTCCTCACGCTCGCACATGCTGTTCCTCCTGCCTGCACATGCTGTTCCTCACACCCACACATGCTGTTCCTCCTACCTGCATATACTCTTCCTCACGCCTGCACATGCTGTTCCTCTTGCCTGCACATGCTGTTCCTCACTCCCTCACATGCTGTTCCTCACACCGCACATGCTGTTCCTCACACCCGCACATGTTGTTCCTCATACATACACATAGTATTCCTCCACCCTGCCCATGGTGTTCCTCCTACCTGCACATGCTGTTCCTCCTGCTGCATATTCTGTTCCTCACACCCACACATGCTGTTCCTCCTGTCTGCACATGCTGTTCCTCCTGCTTGCACATGCTATTCCTCATGCCTGGACATTCTGTTCCTCCTGCCTGGACATGCTGTTCCTCACACCTGTACATGCCATTCCTCATGCCTGGACATGCTGTCCCTCGTGCCTGCACATGCTGTTCATCCTGCCGGCAATACTTTTCTCCCCTTTAATCCAATAAATTGTTTTTCCTTTAGAAATCTCATCTCAACCAACCAACCAACCAAACAAAAAACCGTCTCAGAGTTGATCTTTGCTAGCTTCCCCTATCTCCTCCAAGCAGAGGCTCCCTTCAGGTTAGGAAGGAGAGAAGAGAAGATGGAGAGAAGGGGGTGAAGACAGGAGGGAAAGGGAGAGAGCCGAGGAGGCAGCGAGAAAGGGGGGAAGTCAAGATGAGCGAGAATTAAGCCCATGCGGAGAAGAGCCTGCAGAGCCTTGAAGAGACCTCCTACCTCAGGCTGTCTGGCAGGCCTCCCCCACTTCCTGCCCGTCCTGTCTCTCCCCTCCAGCAGATCTAACTCCCTGCTGGTATCTGTCCAATTGCAGACCTCGACATCAAGGATGCAATCGCCCTGGAGTCCATTCAGCGGTCCCTGCAGTACCACCGCCAGAGCGTCCTGGACCCCCTGCTGCAGGAAACGCCGGTCTTCGGTCGGAGGTCGACCCTCCTGAGGGACTGGGTACTAAGCAGGTCCACCGAGATCTCCTACGAGCGCAAGCTGAAGAGCCTCATGGAGAAGGGCACCGAGCCCAAGGCGGAACTGGTGAGGATGCTGAAGCCAGAGGAGGTGCTGAGCTGCCGGTGAGCCGCCCTGGTGGGCGGGGCAGGGGCGGGGCGCGGGCGGGAATAGGCTTTGGTCATCTCCTTCTGCCGCAGACACCTGGGCTGAGCCTGGGCCAGGGAAGGGCAGCGGCGATGGGCAGGACTGGGCTCTGTCTTTGTGTCCTGAAGGGCCGTTCCGGGGCTGAAGCCACTGGGTTTGCCGGCAGCCTCGCCCGCTAGTGGACAAGCTCTGGGAAGGGCACAACATTTGGGTACCACGTGTTTGGACGCTGGCACCACCCTTCCAATATTTCCATACGTTTCACAATAGAAACCATGACTATGATCCAAGAAGAAAGAATGCGTTGTCTGTGGCCTATTTTTAACAGGAAATCCCCCTAAAAGCCTTCACACCTCGGTGTGGAGTTGCCTGTGGTCCTCGCCACCATCCTGGGTGGCCATCTGCTGCGCGTGTGGGGCTTTAAACTCCCGGAGGCACTATGAACAGAGTGTGAAGCCCTTTAGTATTTACTGTCCCTACCAGAGGTCTTCCTTCTCACGTGTTCTCTGTCTTCTTTATCAAGACCTGCCGATTTCCATCCCCAAATTCAAGGACCCCTCCCAACCCCGGTGCTAGCCTTTACTGTAAAGAGGTGAAGGACAGGGCTCAGAAACTTCAGTAGAGGAGGAAACAACAGACTATGTTGGGTGTCCTTGTAGACAGAGCAGCAGTGAGCTCCTCCGCAGGTGTCAGATGGCCTCAGATGCCTGGCGTCTCGTGACCCCACTTACCAAGTCTGCTCTGCTCACTGACTGGCTGAGAGATGGGTGGGTGAATGGCAGCCCCCCAAGCCCCCAGCCAAAGGGGGCTTCTTGTTTGACCTCTCCATGGATGGATGACTTTGACGATGGCTTTCAGTTTGACAGAGGGGTGCTCATGACTCTGGCCAGCCGACGGCCGACCTGGGCTTCATGGTGGGCAGACGAGAGATTTGGACAGGGCTCCTAACCTGCAAGGGCGGGAAGAGAATATTTGGAGAGATGGCATCCAACGAGCCACTAGAAAAACATCCAAGGAAAAGATGAAATTGTCCAGAATGGGATCTTCGTGAGTGCTGATGTGTGCATGTGTGTGAGACCCTCCAGGGCCGGGCAGGGCAGAAGGGGAAGGAGCAGACCCTGCCTGGTGCTGTCAGAGAAAGGCAGTCCAGACATGAGGTTGGGAGTGCAGTGTCAGATGGCTGTAAAAACAGGTAAGGGGCACGTGGGTGGTTCAGTCAGTTAAGCCACTGACTTCGGCTCAGGTCATGATCCCAGGTTCCTGGGATCAAGCCCCACATCAGGCTCCCTGCTCAGCAGAGAGCCTGATTCTCCCTCTGCCTCTGTCTGCCACTCTGCCTACTTGTGCTCGCTCTCTGTCAAATAAATAAATAAAATCTTAAAAAAAAAAAAAAAAGGTGGGGCGCCTGGGTGGCTCAGTGGGTGAAAGCCTCTGCCTTTGGCTCAGGTCATGATCCCAGGGTCCTGGGATCGAGCCCCGCATCGGGCTCCCTGCTCAGCGGGGAGCCTGCTTTCTCCTCTCTCTCTGCCTGCCTCTCCGCCTACTTGTGATTTCTGTCTGTCAAATAAATAAATAAAATCTTTAAAAAAAAAAAAAAGGTAAGCAACAGGCAGATCTTGAAGGACAGGGAGACCATTCCCGATGGGTAGAAAACCCAGCTCATTTCAGTATGCAGCTCCTCCCCCATCGTCCGTAGCAAAGCAACCAACCAGCAGGTGGCCTGAGTAAGGGACCCACCCCCTTAGACTAAAGCAAGGAACAAGGTCAAAGCCACCGGTAGAATAAGGAGAGCTCGGAGAATATGACGGGCGATATACTCTCTAGACCACACAGTGTTGAAGGGATCAGTTCCACTCTCCAGTGTAAGTCAGAATTGTGGGGTTTTAGCTAAGATTTTAAATCACTGGCCTGTTTTTTTAATTGTTTGAGCATTATTAAAAAGAAAATACTCCCTTTTCCTACAACTTTACTCAGCTTTTATTGCCACTGTTCTGTATTTTCGCCCAGGCTTCAGCATCCCTGAGGTTACCCAGACCTGTTAGTGATGGGGCGCTCTGACAGTTGCCTCCCTCCCCACGTGGCATCACATGTCACCTTCACCGTAGGACACCTGCTTCTACCCAGTGCCGTGTCAAAGCTGGCAGAAGCGTCCTTGAGATGGATATCCCATTATTTGCTTAACCACTCCCCAGTTGATGGAATCTCCTCTTTTCCTGTTGTTGATGACCCCGAAATGAACGCTTTCATTTACATACCTTTTCATTCCATTGACTTCTCTTGGGATTAGTTAAGGCCTTAGTGGAGTTCCGGAGTCAATGATAACGAAGGAACTTTTGAGGGGGTGGAGGGACTTGCGGGGATGGGGACGGTGCCTGGCACATTTGTTGCCAAATTAATTTCCAAAAGAGCTCTACCAATAAAAACTCCCACCAATTCTATGGGGTGTCCCACTCTTCTGTAGGATCTCTGTCAGCTCCAGAAATGTCTGCAGAGCCAGCTCCCGTGAGAGCTCCCACAGTGCTTAAATCTGAGCTCTTTTCAATAAAGTTCGAAGCGACGGTGACTCCGCACTCTGCTCACCCCTCTGGCCCTGTCTTGCGCAGATACCTGAGGCTGTCCAAGAACAACATTCGGACCTTGCTGAAGCTATGCAAGGACGCGGGCATGAACGTGGACATCCACCCCCACATGGTCGAAGGAGAGATAGATGCGAAAAAGGTGTTCAACCAAAACCCCAGCGTGGCCCTCTAGGTCACCACAGGCTCCCTCTGCTGTTGGGCCCTCGGCCCCCAGACGACACCCTCCGGTATGCCAGGCCTAGGCCTTCAGACCTGGGGTGTCCCTTTTAGACAGTAGCCATCAGAAAACAAGGCTGAACTGCATGGACCATAATGCAAAGGTAGTGTTTGTCCTTGACCTGAGTTAGAACCAATGCCAGGGAAACTGCGGGTCGCCCCCCACCCAAAAGAAGATGCTGTAGAAAGGCTGTCTTAGAAAAGCAGGCTTAGAAGTGAGAAATGGAGACCCAGGGTCCCCAGAGGGACATCAGGAGGGGCAAGGGGTGAGGGGCTGGTTGGTGGGGGGACACACACCTCAAGTCTTATGCACCACCCCACCCCTGCCCCTGCGGGACTGTGGGGAGCTGAATGCCACACCTTCAAGGGACGGCTGGGTGATTCCAGACCCTCATGGGGTGGGGGGCTGCTGTGGGAGCCTCACTTCTCAGACCCCAGGTGCTCCCACAGAGTCGGGTTGCAAGCTTCTCCTGGGCATCAGCAGAGACAGCAAAAGAGAGGGGGAAGGAGTACACAAGAGAGACGCTGCCCCACTCCAGACCCTAGGGCCCCCTGGGGGCTCTCCTGGGGTCCAGAGGACTTTCCTGTGTGGACTCCACAAGCACAAAGAGCCTCCAACTCAGCTTCCTGACGTTCTGACCAAATAAACCTACAGTGAGCTCCAAGATTCACAGCTAACATTGAGAAAGGAACATTCATCCGTAGTTATCAGGAAGGCCACTGAAAAGCAACCCCAAGCCAGGGTCCCTTGGCAGACACCACCAACGGCAGCACACTATGCACAGTATTTTATAAACTCTGAAATGGCCTCGTGATTACATTTTCTAGCAGAAACACACACGTACACCAGGAACAGACTCACACAGGTACAGTCCCCTGGTTTATGGCAAAGGTGACACTGTGGTGCAGTGGGGGGAAAAGACAATCTTTTCAATAAATCAGGCTGGTCAATTAAATGTCCATATGGAAAAAAGTATCGACCCTCCGCCTCCCGCCATATGCAAAAATCCGTTCCAGATGGATGCAGATTGTGAAAGCTTCTAGAAGAAACAGAGAAGACAATCTCCACGACCTTGGGGTGGGCCAAAAAAATTTAAACAACACAAAAAGCCTCAGGAATAAAAATATTAATAAATTTACCATAGTGAAAGCAGAACGTCTGCTCTTCAAAACATCACTAAGAGAGCGAGAACGCAAGTAACCCCAGTGGGAGAAGATAGATCCTACAAAGGGCTCGTATGCAGATGACCTGTTTTCAATTCCTATAAATCAGTATGAAAAACGCAGGTAACTCAATCAAAAAATGGGCCAAAGTCTTGCATAGGCAGTTTGTGAAAGTGTTTAGCTAAGTGACCAACAAACGTAAGAAGTTTCGTTAGTTTTCAGGAATGCAAATGAAAAGAAAAAAACAAGGCAGCACCACTAACATCCACCAGAACAGCGAAAAAGAGTGACAAGAGTTGCCTGGGTGGCTCAGTCGGTTAAGCGTCTGTCTTCAGCTCAGATCATGATCCCAGAGTCTTCAGCTCAGATCATGATCCCAGAGTCCTGGGATCGAGTCCCACATGGGACTCCCCACTCAGCGGGAGAATCTGCTTCTCCCTCTCCTCCCCACTCATGTGCGCTCTCTCACTATCTCTGTCTCTCTCAAATAAATAAAGAAAATCTTTTAAAAATAAAATAAATAAAATAAAAAGAGTGATAATATCAATTATAATTGGAAATATAGAGCCAGGAGAACACTCAACACGATGTTGGGATGGGAGGTGGGCACGGCCAGCCTGGAAAGCTGACAGTATCTACAAAAGTTGCCCATACACCTGTGGGCCCAGTGTTTCCATTCCTAGATACATACCTCGCAGGATCCTACATAGGTGCCCCCAAAGACTGTCCCAGAATATCCCTCGTGGCTGCATTCAATACAGCCGAGTACTGGAATCCACGTAAACGTCCATCGGCAGTAGACAGGAAAGCTCGCAGCATATTCACACAGTGGACTAGTGCATAAAACCGAGAATGAACAAATATGTAAGAGCAAAGCACACAGCATCGTGCAGAAGTAGCAAAATAGGGGCACCTGGGTGGCTCAGTGGGTTAAAGCTTCTGCCTTCGTCTCAGGTCATGATCCCAGGGTCCCGGGATCGAGCCCCGCATCGAGCCTGCTTCCTCCTGTCTCTCTGCCTGCTTCTCTGCTGACTTGTGATCTCTGTCAAATAAATAAATAAATAAAATCTTAAAAAGAAAAAAAAAGAAGTAGCAAGATACAAAAGGGAACAACTGTATGGTTCGTGGATACAGCAATCTTCCAGGCGGGACGAGTCTACTGAGTTAGAAGCCAGGATAGAGGGTAGCTCCTGGAGGAGGAAGTGTCGTGGCTGGAGGGACACCAGCAGTGTTGCCTACACAGGTGTTCACTTGTGAGGTTCATTCCCTGTACACTTGGGATTTATGCCTTTTAGGCAGGTACATACTTTAATTAAAAGTACATTGTTTTAAAAGTATACTACCAGAGTTCTGGTTTTGTTTGTTAAAAACAGAAATAGTCTCAAAAGTGAAACACTTCGGGTTCCCCCCACCTGCGCAGTGAAGCCGGCCAGGGAGAGTAGAAACTTCCAGTTATAAGAAAAATAAGTCCTGGGGATGTGTAGTCATGATGACTTTGGTTAATAATGGCATGCTGTTTATTTGGGGATTGAGTATATTTGGGTCTTGAAAATTCTCATCACCAAAAAATGTATCTTGCACACAAGGAGCTGATAACCTATATGATAATTGTATCTCGATAAAAAATAAGATTAGAAAAATTATTTTAAAAAAAATAGGAGCCTCAAAAGTAAAGGAGGTTCAGGGTTCCTCCCTTCCCCTCCTCCTTCCCCTCCATAGCTGCAGTTCCTCCTCAGCGCCACCAGGTGGGGATCGATCACAGCAGAAGACCTGCACCCACGCTTCTCCAGCTGCCGCTGGTAGAGGCGTCAAGCCCAGGCGAAGGGCAGCGAAGCCCCAGGTGACTCCAGCCTGAGCCCGGAGCCGATGGACAAAGCCCAGCTACGTATGCACCAGTTGAGGGCCCCTGGGCATGTAACTTCTCTGAAGCTTCAATTCTTTCCCCAAAATGGGGACAAGAAGTGCAATTTCAAACAACAATGAGGTATATCGCTTTACACCTAATTAGACTGGGAAATATTAGTAAGCTGGGGAATGCCAATGTTGGCCCAGATAAGGAAATAAAGGAGCTTCCGGCCTCGCCAGTAGGTAGTGCAGGCCGTCATGGCCTTTCTTGGTGAAGTCACGCAGACATCGCAGTGACTAGCATTCCACTCCTGCTTATATAGCCCAAAGAATTTCCATCACAGGAGATCTGTTTGATCTCCCACCAGTGCTAACAGATGCTGGGGTGCTGCGGCCGTCCATGCGTGGGAAGGTGGGCGGCAGAACGTGGTGGGATGAGCTGCAACACACTAACCTTCGTCTGAACTAGAAAGACATACCTATAAACAATATACTGCGTGAACATGTGTAAATGCATGAGGACAGCTGAAATAGGAGAGGGAAGGAAGGAAGGGGAGAGGGAGGGAGGGAGGAAGGGAAGGAGGGAGGAAGGAAAATGTGGACAAGAACACCAAGTTTCTAGGATAGTTGTGAAAAGAAGAATCTAAGGGAAGCTTCTATAGATCTTTAGCATTTTGTGGGCACCCAATACATTATTTTCTGTGTATGCCTTTATACATTAATATTTCTTGAATTCCTATTGTGTGTTATGCAATGTACTAGGCCCTCTAAGACAATAATAAACAAAACAGAGCAAAAAGAAAAATTCCTGCCATGAGCTTTGAGCCTTATTCCACAAACCTGGGTGTGAAGGGAATGGCACGTTTTCCTAAAGCAAATGACCATCACTCTGATTTTGTGCCCCCGCCATGCTGGACTGGCGGGAAACTCAATTTCCGTCATCAGTGGGATTCCCTTTGTCGCAGCCCCAGATCCTGGGATGTAACTCAGAGTGGTCCCCTGGGGTATATATAGGAGTCCCTGTCCCTGGTGTCAGTCTACACTGGTCACTGCTGACTCACTATGGGTCTCAGCCCACAAAAACCCAGAAGTTCCCTACGGATGGGAAGCTCTATTTGGTTCTGCACCGAGCTGGCTCAGGGATTTCTGCAAAGAGGTCCCAAGGCTATGATACCGCCTCCTGAGAAGGGCCACACAGCCATGGCTTCCAGGAAGAACCCGTCACCTCCAGGACACTGACAATGAAGATACAACTCCATCACAGACGTGCTGGCTCCTTTTCCTATGGCTTATGCTTCTTCTCCCCCCACTTCCCACCTCCAAGCACCCAGGCCACCACGCCAAGGCACACAGGCTGTCTGCAGACACCTTCAGCCCCTGAGCTGGCAACAGAAGAGTCCTGTAGGTGCTGAGCCGAGCAGCTGGCCCCTGGGCAGGTAGGGGAGGGAGGAAGGAATTCAGAGCACCAAGCATAAAGAATTCTCAGGCTTTTAAATTCTTCTCCCAGGGTGCAAACAAAAACACAAATTTAAATCCCAATAAATAGCCCTGGCATCATTCATATTTCTAGGTTCTTATTTGTTTGACATGGTGGTTGGGCACTTACCGAATGATGTGTGTTCTAGGCACTTGGGGAGCCTTCAGTGATTGGTGTGATGGTTGATGGTGCTGTGAAGGTGGGGAGAAGGGAGGTGGCTGGCCCAACCCAGCTTATTTGGCTGCCAAAAATAGTCAGCTCTGGCAAAAAAAAAAAAAAAAAGGCATGTATTTCTGTACGTGTGGGTGTGATAGGCACGTGTGTGTACATATGTGTGTTTGTGCACACATTGTGCATATCTGTGTGTATGCATACATGCATGTAGCCAGTGCATGTGTATATGACGCACGCATTGTGCAAACGTGTGTCTTGTTTGTGTGTACATACGTGTGTGTGTGTGTGTGTGTGTG